GAGTAAAACAAGGTGCAAAAGTTGGAGGCCATAGCTCTTAGGTTAGAGGCCATCGAAAGCAGGTTGACAGGCCATCGCTAGTAGGTTGGAGACAAGAAACCACAAGACAGCAAAGCGGTCAAAGTTGGAGGTCTTCGCACTTAGGTTGGAGGCCGTCGAAGGCAGGTTGAGGGGCCATCGCTAGTAGGTTGGAGACATGAAACCACAAGACAGCAAAGCGGTCAAAGCTGGAGGTCTTCGCTCTTAGGTTAGAGGCCGTCGAAGGCAGGTTGGGGGCCATCGCTAGTAGGTGACAAGAAACACAAGACAAACAAGACATCAAACCAGCAAAACAGCAAAAGTTGGGGGTCCATTCTAGTGGGTGGAGGCCAAAGTTCAAGTTAAAGAACCCCTTACAAAGTTTGGAGGCCTACCTGCAACCTATAGGGTAGCCTTAGAGGAAAACAGAAGGAAAGGCACCGACACACAAGTGTGTCGAGTACCATTTCCTCCTGTTTTCCTAAATAGGGGAACAGGTACGGAAGTTTGCGTCCAAACTTCCATCCAGTCGATTTCCATAGCTTCATTGGCGTGACTCGGAAATCGACCGTCACGCCCCCTGTTCCAAACCTTAAGGTTCCCTCTGATTCCAAGGGTTACACACACACACCAGAGCCGCCAAAAATAATGAATTTGAACAAGACTTTGTTCTTGCAATGGGCGGTGTCCAAACCTTGTAGCCACAGGGCCATTGCCCCGTTTGACCCATACAAACACGCTTGGTCGCACGACAAACGAGAGGAACGTCACGACTAGTGACTAGGGGTTTGGTTTACACCTTGTTCATGACACCCATCCAAGAACAGTTTTTATTGGAGCCGTCGATTTTGTGGTAGGGTATTAAATGATACTAAATGGTGTTATGGGTAGATCCCCTGTGCTGCGGCCATGAGAGGGGGCCTAGGGGTGTGGCAACATAACAATGTCATTCTTCTAGACTGCTGTGGGGGCCTCTACAGTAGTTGCAGGATGTTGCAGGTATATTGTCTTCTTGTGCTTGCATTTGTGCATGGCGGAAAGCTTGAACGGCGGCCCGATCCTTTGTTTCAGGATCCCTCGTCCATCTTTGTCTCTCATCGAATCAGACTTATAGGAGCTCTATGCTGCAGCCAGGGCACCACATTTCAGGACGTTTGCACGTACATGTTGCAACAGTGTTTGCTTTGATGGGACCACGCACGCACATCAGTTCCGCCACCGGACCAGGCCATTCAATTGCACAGGACTTGTCCAATCATGACCCTCTCTTGGCCAGAGCAAGCCGCAGGACTCGCAATCGTCCGGGAAGTTCACAAATCAAAGAGGCAGCGGGCAGCATTTGGCGAACAGAGTCGATCCTGAGATGACCGGTTGTACAAAACAGAGACCTACACTCCCGGAACTAACATGGAAGTGGAGAATGACCCCTTAGAAGACCATTTTCCACTACAAACAGGTGGTTTTCCACTTCCATGTTAGTTCCAGGGAGACTAACTGTCTTCAATTTTGAGTTTCTGAGAAGGTGGAGACATGCGGGGAGCCGGAGGACCGTTTGCGTCGCGTGGAGCCAGCATTTTCAAGGCCAGTCGCAAGTGAACTGTTGATGCAAGTTTTGGGTGTGATCTCCTGCTTCCCGTCACCCCAATTCGGGGAGGTGCACTATGGCACCGAGGTTTTGTCAACCTTTTTTCAGCCTTTGTGATCTGGCGAGGCCCAGCAACCAGGGCAGAGATTGTTCAAGCAGGACTTCTTTGCGGTGCCCGTGCTGTTTTCAGCCGGCACCAGTACGCAGGCAGAATGCTGCAGCACCTGCCCTGTTCATCCCAATTGCAAGTAAATGTGAGCTATGGTGGCACCAGGAGAGTTACTTACTACTTTGTCGTTTTTGTCGCTTCCTTTTGCATGGTACTGTAGCGCATGCGTCATCGAGTGACTGAACAGCTAGCGCGGGTCAATTTCTAAAGCTATTGCAATCTTTTATGCCAGAAAGTCTGGTCCTGGTGCACGAGCTGAGATGCTTGCACAGGAGTGCCCATACAATGTATAGCATTCTGCAGCAGAGCGTAGCTTGGGAGTTTTGGGTCATTGAATGAGTGTGAACCGATGACATTTGGGCGCTAGGACAGCTGCGCCTCTCCTGCAGAACCAAGTCACCCGCGCTCTGGGAGAAGGAGTGAGTCATGACAGCTCATTCATTCACAACAGTTTGCTCATCTTTCATTATGCCCCAGCTATAGATTCTATTATGCATTTGTATTTGTTATTTTGCCTTGCTTGATTGTTTGCTGGCTGGCCGCTCCCCTGCTTGCTGGCTGGCTGGCTGGCTTGCTCGCTTGCTGGCTTTCTGGCTTGCTGGCTGGCTGGCTTGTTGGATGGCTGGCTGGCTTGCTGGCTGGCCGGCTGGCTGGCTGGCTTGCTTGCTTGCTGTTGTTTATGTTTGATGAGTTTCTAGACACAGACATCCTCCAACGGATTGTTGACAAAAGCAGGCACAACAAGTGCAGCCATGCTCACAAGACTTGCACCCCAGCTAATGATAGCAGCTAATGTGAAGATGTGAAGGTGTTGTAAAGATGTTGCGAATTGCTTTAATCAGCTGGTCTAAATGGCAAGCCGGATTTTCCTCTGCTCTACGTTGAGGCTTACAGCACAGCCGAATGTGCAGAACCAGATGCAGCATACAGAGATGTGTGCGCAGGACAGGGGTTGAAACGGTTGAATGTCCGCCAAAGCAGTTGTGCCACGCTATGGACAACAAATCAATGCTATGTCAAAAACATGCAAATCGTCTTTCTATCAATGGCCACCGGCTTCGTTTGCTTCTCGATCTTGTTTCTTGTTCTTCTTAGGTGCAGGAGTGGGTTGCCAAGACTCATGTTTCCATCCTTGCCCCCTGCCAGGAGAAGCTGGAGAACTTTCGGATGGGGGCCTTCGGGCAGATGCCAAATCGTGACAGAGCTTGCAGCCAATTGGCGGCTGAAGCCTCCTCGCAGACTGCGCGGAGTTCCTTGGCCGAACCTTTGCCCGTCTGATGTTTGCAGGCAAATTGGATCAAATTGGAATTCTTGTGCACCAGGCAAATGTAAACAAACGAGTAGAGCTATGTACTTCTGAGGCAAAACAAGACAAACAGAAGTCGTGATGCCAAAGTGGGAGGAGGCCACCACAGTTGCCCTTTTCTACTCAAGAGATGCAGCTTTTCTACGGTGCATATCATCAAGTCAGGACTCAGGACAAGTAAATATACAGTATACAGTATTATATATTGTTATATATATATATGTATATATGTGTGTGTGTGCTGTTTTGTTTAGACTGATGCGCATAACATGCAAAATTATGCAAGCATATCTACGTTTGCAGGCAGATGTTTTCGCAGAGCCTGGGCTGGAGCTGCAGCAGTTGGCGCAAAAGAGGCGGTCGATGACAAAGGCGCTGAGAAAAAGACTGACGCTTGGTCTATAGACTGACTGCTATAGCCGTTTGAACTGTAAACCCTTCAGTTCCAACGGCACTGGACATGTTCATTGCTTTTGGCCCCGGTGTTATGTTCAGGCACGTCGAACACACATTTTGTCCTGCAGGACATGTCAATTTCAACGTGTCAGTGTCAATTTCAAATATATAGAGAGAACAGTAGATCCCCACTTAAAATGCATTGGAAACTGTTTCTATTTATTTGGGAACCACTGTATATGTATATGCAATATACATGCATTTCGTTTGGCAGGCTGTGAAAAGACAGACGGCTAACACTTGGGGTTCTCCCTCCCTCTCTATAAATATAGAGCCCGTTACTGTATGTCGTTTGGTTTGTCGTGGTCGATGCATTGTTTTTCTAAGCGCCTGCCACCCACAAAGGACTACCATTTGCATTTCTTATCATTTCTTTTCACCTTTGTTTTACATCTGCAATCGCTTGTGCTAGATGTAGCATGACGGTTGTTACACGACCGGTAGGGTGGGTGGGCAGCATTATCGGAACCGTTTGTCATGTAAGTGTCCCAAAGGTTCAATCGACGTCCATTGATTTGTTGCTCCAAGGCAGCACATGGAGAAACACTGCGGCATACTCTCGGAGGACTATCAGCGCTTGGCGGGTTTGGATACAGAGTGACTGGGTGAAGAGTCGTGCGTCCGCTTTGGGGGCATGAGAAGGATGATCCATGCATAGGTTGAAATGAGTCGCGCCATCTAGCGTGCAGGTTTCAACACATGGTAAGCAATCGGAGGTGTGTACGTGTGTGTATATATATATATATCTATAGATAGATGTTATAAATACACAATATGTTTTTAATTGTATTCTTGTTCCCCAATTAGCCTGGACAGAAACATGAGCAGCGGAGATGGTATTTTCGACATGTTACAGTTCTCGGCGCATATGACTCGAGTCTTCGGATATGTAGCAAGAAGCTACCAGGTTGGAGGCCATCGCTACTAGTAGCAAGAAGCGACTAGTAGCTCCTGGCCATACTACTAGTAGCAAGAAGCTACTAGTACCAGCTCCTTACTTGGATTTGCCAAGGCTCTACAGAGTTGTGGCAAATTTGCGGCATGCGTTTGCCAGAGAGCAAGAGGTGCAGAGGGAGATATCCTCACTAGTTGCGTGTGCGGATTTTACATGTTTTACCCTTTTGCAGCCAACAACTGCACTCTGACCAGCCCCATTTATCACTGTCATTGGGGTACGGTCCCTGACAAGGACATGCTGGCTGCAATGGGCTCGCTAAGCACTCTGCACGGTTGTAAGGGTATGTAGGTAAGGGGACTTCATTTCCTTACTGATCTCTCACCGTCTCCAACCCTTTCAATGTTCCCCCCTTCGATTCAACGGCGCGTTGCTGACTGTCGCAATACGCGCTCCGCCAGGCCTTGGCTGACAGGCGCCACAGTGCAGGGCCTGAACTGTGCAGGTTCTTGGCATATTTTTGCGGGTGCTTTTTTGCACACACACACACATCCCTTTTCTGTTCCACTTGGACATCCTTGCCGCAAGCCTCGCCTTAGACTTTTCGGTGGCAAGTCCAAGGTCTCGCACAGATTTCACAAAGGGCTCCAATTGAAGATGCTCCCTGAAGATTCATGGTGGCCGTATAGCTGAGCAACAGACCTTCACACAGGTGTCCCGGCCTTCAATCCACTACGGTAGGACCTGCTGCACCCTGTAGCACTTGGGTCCCTGCTACGCTACACGGCCATTCGAGCATTAATGCTTTGCTTGCCGCATTCAGCTGGGTGTGAAGAGCGCGCCTGGAAGCGTCGGCAAAATATGCCTGGCAAAGGCATTTTATATTGGACATGGACAAAGGCATTTGAATGCGAGGCCTTGTCCTAGTGTGAACAGCCAAAGAAGCCCAGACCAAGAAAAAGGTTATTCTAGATGCACTTGCTTTGGCGCCTGGGCCGGCCCCCTTTGCACAGCATTTTTTTGTTGGGATTATTTGAGTACAATTCATTCAGCACACAACGTGAATCGACATTGACCACCTGCTATGGAAAGTGTGAAGTGTGGGTAGAGTGCGAAAGGTGCTCCAGCACCATAAATAATCATAAGGCTGCCTCAATCTGTTTCCATAGCAGCAATCAAGCATCAGCATGACTCCCAAAGTAATGACACAGGAAACTGTTCAGAGTGGAGATGTTGTCAAGGTTTGTTTGGGTTGAATTGGCTGCTCAGGAATTCATTTTGTTTCCACAGCTTGTGGACCTGCGAGAGCTCTGGGGCTTGGGGAGAAACTGCAACTAATAGGACTCTATCTAGTGTACAGAGAGGTCCAAGTAGACATGTATCCAAAGGAACTTCGACTTTACAATAAGGCTAGCTCCTATATAAGTGGGTTTCAAATTGAAGCCTGACATCACCTTTGACCTAGTCACAACTTCACAACATCCAATTTGTTTGTAATTTTCAGCGTTGCCTTCTAGACTGAGTCTGTGAAAGTGGCAGATGCCCTCGCAGAACCGATTGTGGCCCTGGTCTCGTGCAAGCCGTGCACCAGCTCCCAGCCAGTTGGTGGAGGAGTTTGCACATTGAAATGCTACTGCCCGCGGCAGCAGAGCAAATAGTTGTAGCTGTAGCATTTTGTAGCTCAATAGCTCATCCTGACTACAATAGCGCAACCGACAAGGAAAACAACATCGACAACCTGCTGGTGGAAGGCCAGTGTCCAGTTTGTTCATTTTCTTGGGCCCATCAAGCGCCATTGACGCGGGGTCGCCAAGTGGACTGTCAGAGATGTTAGGGAAACGGACCACTCACAGCACAGCACGGACCACACAGCAGATGGATTTTTGCGCTTCAGGTCTTTGTGTTTTCAGGTCTTTGCCACGCTTACTTCGCTGGCTTTGATGGGCTCAAGTTGGGGTGCCGGCTCTCCGGTGGGAGCAGGCTCATCAGTCTCAATGTCACATTGCTGAGGGCTTCAAACGATCAAATATGTTGTGGAGGAAAGGCCGCGGCCAGTGATTGTTTGGAAGAGCTTTAGAGTCCGGAGGGTGTGCTTGGGATTGGAATTGTCCCTGTGGAACGACTACCAAAGTGTGAGTGGTGAATGGATGTTTTCATTTAAAGGCCTCCTCCGGAATGGCCAGTGGTCGGACGCTTACTGGGGCTCCGTGCTACATGAGAAATCGAGAAACCACCAGAAGAGTGTTTGCTTGGCTTCCTAGCCCATAGCCAAGCATGGCAATGGCACGAACAGCTCAAACGCTTTCATAAAACAGCGAGGTGCGGTGTTTTTGCATTCCCGACAAATGCCATAAGTGCAGTTCACGTTGGATGTCTGCAAGGCGGAGGTGAGTCTGCAACTCAGGTTCGGAGGGATTGCGATCCGTTCACTCCAACGTTGTGCCTTCCACAGTCAAGTGTGGAAGCCATTACCATTCAAAATCGCGCCGCCAGGACACCAATGCCAAAGAGACTCTAGAAGCAGCAAATGAGGATTTGTTCTACATTCTACATGTGGGATATGTGTGTGTGTGTGTTCTGTATTTGTCTAAATTCACTTTCCCCTTAAGTGTGTTCTTCTCGGTTTGGCTGATTCATGAACTGGAGTTGTTTTTTCTATTTTGGATCACTCTCAGCTGGAGGACTCAAAGAAAGATCCAGGCTTGCTTAGAGATCCAGCGCTGCTGTGAAGGGTTGCCTCACTGGGTAGCCTTCATCACCTGTTGGGCGCCCTTGCCGCCCGTCCAGTGTTCAGAAGGGACAGAAAGTTTGGACAATGGCCACATGTCTCCCGCACAGCGCAGTATCACCATCCGTTGTTCGTTTATTTTCGGCGCCCACAAGAGAGTTTGACTACACCGATGAAGGCATGCTCTTATCCCTTCAGAAAATTCACGACTGCTCTCATGATGGGTGTGGAGTGAAAACACCTTCTCTCATGTTGAATGTTTGTGCCAGGTCCTAGGAAGAAGATCATGTCAGGCCAAGTCCTCACGGGCCAGGCGCGTGACTCCTGTCGCTGCTCTGGTTTCTGGCCCCATCTCCTAGGATCAAGCATGAAAAGGGTGTTTAGGGTCATCCCGCAGAGAAATGACAATGAGGATCCAAATGATTTGACAGGAAACTCTAGATCCTTTTAGGCAACAGGATGCAACAGGGGACAGTTCGGGAGACAGTTGTGCAGAGTTGCCATCATGCTGTGTGGATTTGAGCCATATGTGGATCTACCACCCGTGCGAGGTGGTAGATTGGAAGGCTGGGCTTGTGCGATGAAGATGTTGGAACGAGCTAAAACAATTTCATGACACAGGCACACACGAAACTAATGCAATGTCAATGTCTAGGAGCATGTGGAATATCTTGAAATCCAATTGGTTTGCCTTCGGCATTTGTTTTGTTTACGACCCACATGTGGTGTGTGTGTGGGCACGCCGTTTGAATACCAAGGGTCGATCTTAGGGAAACTCCAAAGGCCAAACTACAAACTGTTGCGTCTTTGCTCCTAGTAGCGAGCTTCTTGTTGCAAATATGGAAACGATTCTGTTGTGCTGCATGGAGGCACCCTGTAAATAATGTAATACGTTTTTGTTTCAATTGATGATAGCTTTTGCATACCGACCCGGCTTCCTTCGTCGTCTCGGTGGCTTATCAGAATTGCTCAACTTGGTGAGATTGTGCAAACGTCATGCACTATTTTCCGCCTTTGCTCAAGGTGGATCCATGGGGCTTTTTGCTATAGTAGCGTCCGATCGCTCCGTTCGTAGCAATGCCCTTGGTTACTAGTAACTTCTTGCTCCTAGTAGTAATGCCAGGAGCTACTAGTAGCGTCCTTGCTCCTAGTAGAATGTTCGGTTTTGTTTTCGGTTGATTCTGCTGCTGTTACGATTTGTCAGCATTGACCTGTGACAGAAGACTCTTCGAGGTCATACAACAGGATTTAACTTTGTTGTTCTTCCGCGTGCCCCCTGGAAATCAAACATGTTGCGCAGGAAAAAGAACGCCTTAAAGTCTGTATGAAGCCTCCATCAAACCAGTTGCATCAGCATAACCCAAAACATATCATTATATATACTGTATATATATATAACAAACGGAATATTGGACTGCTCACTGAAAGTCGTGTCATCCGACGTGAGGGATGGTTCTCTCCTCAAGTGACTTGAACTGGCTTTTGATCATGATCCTCCTTTTGCCTCTCCTCTCATGGCCTTTTTCATGTTTTTCTTTGGCCATCCCAACTAATTTAACTATGTCTAGCTGGCATCAGTTGAATATTTGATGATATTTGCGTAAGAACTGCTGAGTTCCTCACAGCAAGTGTGCTAAGAACCAGGTGGATGGCTCTCAAAAACGGATCATTGTAGCTACCACTAGTCAGGGGTCGGGTGGTTCTTGGTTGAAAGCGCAGGGCAAATATGGTTGGATTCAACCAGCCGAGCTGATCCGGCATGAGAAGGTGGGCGTTGGTCTGAGGACGAGAGAGAGACGAAGCAAAGTGGTCAGACCGGGTTGGTGACTTCTGGAGGCACGTATGCGCCAGGGACGAATCTTTGTGAGCCCAGTTCTCAGAGTTTGCTTTAGGCCTCAGGCCGCCTCAGGCCTTTGTGAAACGTGATAGGTTTGCCTTGATTCTGCGCTCCCGAAGATCCAAAACTCTCGAAATTCCGCGAGTCATTGGCACTAAAGCCAATCCTTTCTAAGGCAGGACAGATTTGGTATTTGCCTCAAGTGTCAGGGTCTGGAGAAGCAAACCAGGCAATGCCGATAAATGATATCCGATGATCTTTACTCGTACTTGTACGAGGATGTACGAGGTATTTTGATAACCAAGCCAGCTCATGACAAATGCATACTAGTCATGATTCAATACTCTCAGACTCACGGCTTGCTTGTTCCGACATTCCCTGGATGATTACGAGGCCCTTGATGTGTTGAAGCGGTAGCAGCTTGGGACACTTCAGCATTCAGCTCATGACCACATTGGCGAGACAATTGAACACGACCCAAGCAAGCTGCAACAGCACCTTGTTATATTGTACCAGGATCCCTGCCAGGATGCTAACATAGTGAGATCGACTAGTAGATCAACTATAATCAACATGTCACCTGATATAGGCGGATTATGAAGGCATTGGACCAGCTTGCCCACTGGGCGCATTGCTGGAATTATTTGAGCAGCCCTCCCTGCCGCTGCGCATGGCTGCGCAATGGCAGCAGCAAGACTTTTCCAGCAGTAGGAGCCTTATTGACGAGACATTTAATCCCTCGGGATTCTTGCTGCAATCCTGTAACTCCGGACATACATGTCAAAAGCATGGTGCCATGTGAAACCATTCGGCCAAGGTTGGAACCTCATGTGCTTCATGCTCTTTTGCAGCACGTCCTGCTTGTAATGGGGGGGGATTGAGGAAGACAAGAGCCTTGTGATCACCCGAGTGAGTTAATGTTCCAGCCGAGGTGCCCAAAACTCCAAGTGCTTTCAAGCTGGAGGAGATCGTGCGCTTCTCAAGTATTCTTTTTGAACGGATATCCCCACACGGGCGGCAAGTCAGAAACACTAAGTTATATAATATATAGTATTTGGTATGTCTATCTATTTTTATGGGTCGGAGTCCT